TTTTTTTTCTCAGAATGTACCAAACTGTTGATTTGACCGCTCCGAATGTTCCTGCTATCTCTCTGATGGATTTGTTTTGTTTCTGAAGCCTAACAATTGTCTGTTTCACTTGTATGGAGACATCCTTTGACCACATGACGTGGGTTCAGAGCAACAGCTTCCAAATGCAAATGGTACACTTAGAATCAACTCCAGACCTTCTACCTGCTTAATTGATGTAGAACTAACGAAGGAATAGCCCACATCTGTCCATGAAATGGCGTTTGAGTCAACTGTCCAATTACTTATGGTCCTTTGAAAAAGGGGGGAGGTAAAGAGCTGTAATTCCTTAACCTTTTCTCCAATTGTGATGAGAATACCCTCAAATTAAAGCTCAGAGTGTGCACTTTAAGTCCATATTCATAATATAACTGTAACTTGAATATGTTTTGGTCAAGTCAAGTCACCTTTATTTATATAGCGCTTTTAACAATACAGATTGTGTCAAAGAAACTGTACAGCATTAATTAGGAAAATATTGTGACAGTAATGCAAAAGGGCAATAGTAAACACTCAATTTTCAGTTAAAGGCAGTTCATCATTGTATTCAGTGATTATATAATATAATAAATTTAATTTATTCATTTAATTTATTTTCATTAGTTAGTTTAATGAAGAAGCTGGTAGTTTGGGTAACTATATCTGCTGAGAATCTTGTCCAGCACTGAGATGTAGGCTACTTGATTTGACACTACTTGAGAGAGACACTCAAACCAAATAAACAAGTCTTTTCTGAAACAAGTGCGTTTGTAAGTGCAGTAGGAGGAGTGAACGTGGGCAACCCGGACAGCATTTTAATTCAGCCAGAGGGTGTTTCCATCAAGTGGCCATATTAGAATGAGAGAGAGAGAGAGAGAGAGGGAGAGAGAGAGAGAGAGAGAGAGAACGCACGAACGTCAGCGCAATAAATGAAAGCATACTGTCAGTGCTTTCTATCGCATTAATCTGCATGGCTGCCACAGATGTGAACATATATCCTGTAAGTTCTTTTTCCCTCTTATACTTACTGCACATTATTATTCTAAATATGGCATGCATATTCTTGATAAAGTTGCAGTGTGTGCAGCGAGAGGTATGAAGACTGAATTAGTTGGTCAAAGATGATTCAAACTTTTGCATATTTCATAATTTGCCTGTAGCCTATTTATGTGCTAATATGCGCATTTAGTTTGTTGGTTGCAATAGAAAAAGGTTTAGTGTGCATATGCTTGTAATTTATATTTAGTTTAACATTGGGGTCTTTCTCTGGTTAAATCCACTGTCAGAGTCATTTCAAGCTGATTAGTTCTTGTAAGCAGATCAGCTTTGGTTCTTCTGGTTGCTGCTTCAGTCAGCATGCATTCCAAGTCTGTAACGTTTTTACATTTATGCTAGAGTGTCATCCTAATACTGTTCATTTATGATTTTAAAATGCCTTTTAACTTGTTGCATTTGTAAACCCAGCACTTAAAGGATGTTTCCTAGGGCAAAAGCAGTGGAAGCCTTCAGCTACTGAGAAACACAGGCTGCATAAAGAGTCCTTTGTGCCCCAGTGTGTGTGTTAAGAATACTGGGGCAGTGGAACAGATGAAGGCTGTGTGAAACACTTCCTTGTGTTTGTACAGAGTGAGGAGCTCTGAATACCTCAGCATGCTGCTTTTCTCTGTGATTGACACTCAAACCCGGGTTCATGCATACCAATATGCTCAGTTACTTACAAACGCTTTGATCAGTATCTCCCATATATTAATAGGCGCATTGATAGACTTATATTTGTGATATTTTAAAATATTATTACAATTTAAAACAGATATTTTAATTTTAATATATTTTAAAATGTAATTTATTTCTGTGATGGCAAACTGAATTTTTAAAAAGCCATTATTCCAGATTGTGTCAAAGAAACTGTACAGCATTAATTAGGAAAATATTGTGACAGTAATGCAAAAGGGCAATAGTAAACACTCAATTTTCAGTTAAAGGCAGTTCATCATTGTATTCAGTGATTATATAATATAATAAATTAAATTAATTCATTTAATTTATTTTCATTAGTTAGTTTAATGAAGAAGCTGGTAGTTTGGGTAACTATATCTGCTGAGAATCTTGTCCAGCACTGAGATGTAGGCTACTTGATTTGACACTACTTGAGAGAGACACTCAAACCAAATAAACAAGTCTTTTCTGAAACAAGTGCGTTTGTAAGTGCAGTAGGAGGAGTGAACGTGGGCAACCCGGACAGCATTTTAATTCAGCCAGAGGGTGTTTCCATCAAGTGGCCATATTAGATAAAGGTGCTTCACGATGCCATAGAAGAACCTATTTATCTAAAGGGTTCCATAAAGAACCGTTAACATCTGAAGAACCTTTCTGTTTCACAAAAGGTTCTTTGTGGCGAAGGAAGGTTCTTCAGATTACAAAAAGGTAAGAAAAAGATTGAAGAAACTGTTGACGGAATGGTTCTTTGTGGAACCAAAAATGGTTCTTCTATGGCATCGCTTGAAGAACCTTTTAAACACCTTTATTTTTAAGAGTGAGTCTTCAGTTTCACACGATTCTTCAGAAATCATTCTAATATGCTGATTTGATATTTTTATCCATGTTGACAACAGTTGTGCTGCGTGATATTTTTGTGAAAACTGTGATACATCATATTTACAGGATTCTTTCAAGTTCAAAAGAACATAATCCGTTTAAAATAGAAATCTTATAACATTACAAATGTCTTTTTCTGCCAATTTCTCTTAAAAAATCATCCCAACTGCAAAAATGTGAACAGTAGTAAATATATGATATATTATTAGATTTAATATTAAATGTAATTGTATTGTTAATAAACTCACTTAGGCAAACTTCAATACATTTATATATTTACTGTTTAATTGTTTATTAAATAATACAATGAATAATACTTTAAAAAGACAGAATTTAACTGCACTCTCACTTCAGCTTTTTTATTGTCCTTGACAAAGGCTTATCGCCGAAACATCGGCAACAATTAAAAAGCTTAAGTGAGAGTGCGGTTATATTTTTAATTGATTATTAAAACCATTAGTGTTTTTGAAAACAAGTTTAAATGTTTTTGATAAAAAATTCAATCCACTATAATGTCATTTTGTACATTGAATATTTTTTACAAAGGCACTTGTAGCAATTATTCATGCCGCTCTCAAAATGTCCTGGTATCAAACTGTCAAACTTTTTTTGCTGTTGTAATTTCTCAGAGTGAGGAGATGAGGACTCTCTCTCTCAGCGGTCATGTGGGTTTTGACAGTCTTCCTGATCAGCTGGTCAGCAAATCAGTGAGCCAAGGATTCAGCTTCAACATTCTCTGCGTAGGTGAGGAGAAAGTGCTTTAGAAAATTCTGCAGACCTGGTATGTAAATAATAAAATCGATATAAAAGACTATTCCCTCTTTTACAGGTGAAACTGGCATAGGCAAATCTACATTAATGAACACGCTATTTAACACAACGTTCGAGAATGAAGAGGCCAGCCACTTCCAGAATGGTGTGCATTTGCGCCCCAGAACATACAGCCTGCAGGAAAGCAATGTGGATTTACAGCTAACCATTGTAGACACTGTGGGATTTGGCGACCAGGTTAATAAAGAAGAAAGGTAATACTTGAGACTAAAAGGGTTTGTTCACCCAAAAATGAAAATTCTGTCATTAATTACTCACCCTCGTGTTGTTCGAAACCCGTAAGACCTTCGTTCATCTTCGGAACACAAATTAAGATATTTTTGATGAAATATGAGTTCAGAAAAGTACCAAGATGATCGACAAAGTAGTCCGTGTGACATCAGTGGTTCAACTGTAAAGTTATGAAGCTACGAGAATACTTTTTTGCGCAAAGAAAACAAAAATAATGACTTTATTCCACATTTTCATCGCTTCGTAGCTTAATAACTTTACCTTACGGGTTTGGAACAACAAGAGGGTGAGTAATTAATGACAGAATTTTCATTTTTGGGTGAACTAACCCTTTAAGTTAAATATATGATAATGAGTAACCCACTGACATCGATAATGAAGTACCAAAGTCTTGTCTTGTTTCTCTGCAGTTATAAACCTATTGTGGACTACATCGATGCTCAGTTTGAAACCTTCCTTGAAGAAGAACTTAAAATTAAGCGTTCCCTTTATAACTATCACGATTCACGCATCCACATCTGCCTCTATTTTATTGCTCCCACCGGTCACTCACTGAAATCTCTGGACTTAGTTACCATGAAGAAGCTGGACAGCAAGGTACAGTGTTCACAAAGTGATTGTTCTATATATTCTACCTCATCAAATCTTAATTTATATACATAGAATTAATGTATGTCCATTTATTTTTCCTTTCCAAACAGGTCAACATTATTCCCATCATAGCGAAGGCAGACACTATATCCAAGAGCGAGCTTCAAAAATTTAAGATCAAGATCATGAGTGAACTGGTCAGCAATGGTGTTCAGATCTACCAGTTCCCAACAGATGATGAAGCTGTGGCTGAAATAAACTCTTCTATGAATGTAAGAGAAACTTGGGTAAAAATATATGTCATAATATCAGATATGATGTTTTGCTATTGATCCGAACAGACACACACTATATGCTCTTATACTGGCATCTTTAATGTTGAGCCAGTGACTTGTGTTGCAGGCAGTTCTCCCTTTTGCTGTGATTGGAAGCAGTGAAGAGGTTCAAATTGGGAACAAAATGGTGTGGGCCCGACAGTATCCGTGGGGAGTGGTGCAGGGTAGGTATTGCTGCTAATAGTACATAAAGATATTTATCATTGTCTTACTTTTAGACAAAAATTGATAAATTGGGCAATGCTGTATTTTCTTTTTTATTTACTGATAAACCTTTTTAGCGCAAATGCAAATGAATAGAAAAGGTTGCACTTGATACTTTACCTGTGTATATTATGCTTTCATCCAAATGGTTTCATCCAAGTTTTTATTATATATATATATTTTTTTTTGGAAAATAAATTAATACTTTTATTTAGCAAGGATGCATTAAATGGGTCAAAAAATGACAGTAAAGACATTTACATTATTACAAAATATATTTGAAATAAATGCTGTTTTGAACTTTCAAACCAAAAAATATATTAGGCAGCACAACTGTTTTCAACATTGATAAGAAGAAATATTTCTTGAGCAGCAAATCAGCTTATTAGAATGATTTCTGAAGGATCATGTAACACTGAAGACTGGAATAATGTTGCTGAAAATTCAGCTTTGCGTTGCAGAAATAAAGTACATTTTAACAATACAAGACAGTTATTAAACTTTTTAAAAATATTTTGCAGTATTACTGTTTTACTGTATTTTTGATCGGATAAATCAGCCATGGTGAGCATAAGAGAAAATCGTAGTTACCCCTAACTTTTAAACGGTAGTGTAAATGAATAGGACATTATTACTTTTCTTTTTTTAAAGTACACATAATGCATACAAACTAATTGTACAGTCTGCATTCAAAATGCCAGTTTGCATCTCACAAATTTGACCATTTCAAACATGATTTCAAGGCAGCATTATTAAAGGGATAGTTCACCTAAAAATGAACATTTTGTCATCATTTACTCACCCTCATGTCATTCCAAACCTGTATGAGTTTCTTTCTTATGTTGAACACAAAAGAAGACATTTTAAAGAATTTTGAAGAACCAAACAGTTGTTGGTCCCCATTGACTTCCATAGTAGGGAAAGAAATACTATAGAAGTCAATGGAGACTATCAACTGTTTGATTACCAGCATTCTTCAAAATATCTTCTTTAATGTTCAACATAAGAAAGAAACTCATACAGGTTTGGAACGACACAAGGGTGAGTAAATGATGACAACATTTTCAAACAAAACTATCCTTATAAGTACACAGTATGTCCGTTTAGACATCACAGTGCATCCTGTAGTAGTTTGTCAACATTAACGCAAGACAAGCAGCAAACTGTGTCTTGATTACTGTAGACATCATGAGAACTACATCAGATTGAAGTTGTGATCTGGGCTTTGTCCTCAGTGGAGAACGAGAGTCACTGCGACTTTGTAAAGCTGAGAGAGATGCTAATTCGTGTCAACATGTTGGACCTGAGGGACCAGACCCACGCCAGACACTATGAGCTGTACCGCCGCTGCAAACTGGAGGAGATGGGCTTCAAAGACACCGACCCTGACAGCGAACCCTTCAGGTACTGCAACTTCTTCTCAAGAAGAGCATGTAACAACATTTTATAGTCAATTGCATAGTCGTCACAGTCATGGCATCAAGTGAACTGAAACATCTGTCCTCACACACAGTCTGCAGGAGACATATGTGGCCAAGAGGAGAGAATTCATTGGTGAGTTACAACTCAAGGAGGAGCAGATGAGACAGATGTTTGTCAACAAAGTGAAGGAGACAGAAGCTGAGCTAAAAGAGAAGGAGAGAGAGGTAAGAACCACTATTTTTTTAATGGAAATAAAATTTCAAGGCATCATTTCAAGACAATATGTTATTTGTACTTGCCTTAATCTAATATAAATGGTCATGTAAAACAACATTATATCTGCCTTTAGTGCAGACATGGCTTTAGAGTAAAATATTAATAAAAAAGTAATACTTGTCACTTTTTATTAAAATTTGAAATAAAAACACTAACATACAAAACATACGTTTAAATTAAATAACCCCCCAAAAATTGATAGTTTAATAGTAACATTTTTACTTTAATAGTAACTAAATCTTTAAATACCTGTGACTTTTATCAAAGGCTAAAGCAAAACAAAATCTTAAATAAGTTTTTATTAACTTAAAATGAATTCACTTTCTATTAAATAATAAAATATTTAATTAAAAATAAATAATTAAATACTCGTCACTTATTATTAAAAATATCACATTTTAGTAAATAACCAAATCTAAACAAAATCGTTAAAAACATGTCACCTTTTATTTAAATAAGCTAAAAAAAATGTATTTACTTGATTAAAGTAAATACAGCTGCAAGTATTTCAGCACTTGTGTTAATCGGTTAAATACTAATGGAATTAAAATGTTAAAGTAATTTTAAAAAGAAGTATTTCAGCACTGTAAACAGTTAATCGGTTAAATAATAATGGAATTAAAATTTTGATAAAAATAAAACAAAATACTGAGTATCTTGTTCTGTATTCCCAGCTGCATGAGAGATTTGAGATGCTGAAACGTACACATCAGGAGGAGAAGCGGAACCTGGAGGAGAAGCGTAGAGATTTCGAGGAGGAAATGAACACCTTCAACAGGAGGAAAGTGGCTGCTGAAACCCTACAGTCTCTTCAAGGCTCCTCTGCCCTCAAAAAAGACAAAGAGAAGAAAACGTAAGCCTTCTCCTCCTCCCTTTTTCCCCATTTCAACCTCTGAGACTATCTGTTCCCATCTCTGGTAGTCACCGTCTGTGAATGAGACTGATCTGTGTCTGCATTCACAAGCGTCTGAGGTCTTTTTGTTTGTCTGAGTTGGCTGACCGTCTTTGCTTCTTCTGGGCTCTGATGCCAGGGCAGAGGATGCTGGGATAGAAGAGCTTCAGTGCTGTAGTATTAGAGCACGCTAGACAGGATCTTGGCATGTTTAAGGAGAAAGAGATAGATGATGACACTAGTTGCCTGGTACTGCCAGCTGCCGGATCAGCATGCATTTACGCCCCCTGATTAAGTGCGTTTGCCATCTTTTGCACTCACTTTGAATAAAATGAGTGTTTGATTGCTTGAAATATGTGTTAGTGCTCTTGGTTGGTTGCCAGTGGTTGGTAACATTATTTTTTATAATCTAGCTGATTTGATTTCTATTAAACATTTTCTTTTCAGCTAATTGGCGACCCAAGGAAGCGTCAGCATCAGTAACTGCTCAGTAATTTTACAGTCACACCAGCTTGTCATGCTTTCAGGTGAAGGTTAAATGCAAAACAAGCACCATTCAGACTGTGATGATCCACTGATGTGTACTTGATTCTTCTGGATTTACATTTTTTATTAAAGGGTAGGGGTTCACCCAAAAAATTACATTCTGTCATAAATTATTCACCCTCATGTTGTTCCAAACTCGCACGACTTTCTTTCTTTTGATGAACATAATATATTTTGAGAAGATATTTTTGTCTATAAAATGGAACTTAATGATAGGCAAAATATTTTTTTGTGTTATGCTGAAGAAAAACTATTTGGAATTGCATGAGGGTGAATAACTGATGACAGAAATGTAATTTTTGCATGAACTGTCTTTTTAAGTAAACATGAAGTTTGATTAAAACCAGTTAACTTTGTCATTGTCTTATATTAATATGGAACTTGACTATGATAACTGGACTTTTAACATATAATTTAGACTTTTGTACATTAATGTATTTTCCTCTTACCAGACTCAAAAGACTGTACAAAAGGAATTGTTTTATATTAACCAGAATTATGATATTTTTACATGTTAAATATCCCTGCTACACAAATGCGAATGTACATTTTTCAGTTTAAAATAAAAAAATACTTTTACAGTTTATTTTCTTTGTATTACTGACTTGCTCACTTCGAGAGATAAATATGGAAATAAGTACATGTGAGAATAAAATGTACAAATGAATGAATGCAATTTAATACAAATAAATGAATACAAATTTTAGAAAATAATAAAACAATTGGACTAAATTTAACAAGTCATATATTCCTTAATTTCCCTATTATTACATTTATGTATTCATTTTTAATTTATGCAGGTTTGGGCTTCCATCTAAAGGAACCACTTAATAATGTTTTTCCCCACAATCAATTTAATTAAGAGTATATATTTGAGAGAATCAGAAAAAAATAATTCTTTTTGAAGCCAGTGCCTGCTGCCTCCTCATAGTGTTTTTTGCTTTTCTTTTCCTTCAGTTTATTTCTTGAGGCCTCTGTCTGCATATTGCCTGACCTCAGAAAGGTACAGAGCTAGAAGATTTGTATCAGCCTTAGTGGCTTTTGCCAAAGGATTACCACGTGTACTTAACCAAATCCCAAAAGTACTTAAACCACAAGTTGCCGCTGAATTCTCCCGAACAAGAGATGCGTTTGCAGATGGTGCTTGATATAACTGAAACAGGTGCCTGTATTGAATGTTTCATTTACACTAAACCAGCCGCTGATTATCAGACACATCAGGACAATATAGTACTGAAACAAAAAAGAGGAAACTCAGCTCGTGTTCATTCTGTTGTTTATTGTTCTGTTGAAAATGTGTTGCTCATGTGACTCAGAGTCAGCTGCATTAAAGGAATACAGAAGGGTTAAACGAGTCTGCATTCTTACCCAAAACCCAACACAACAATCCTCTATCTCTCATCTCTAGGAGCCAATTATGCAGACTGAAACACCCTTGATAACAGTTAAAAGGCATCATAAGGCCATGGTGGAAATGACAAAAGATAAAAAAAACTTGTTTGTGTCTCTGCATAAGCGGTTTATCTTACACTGACCGGTCCTCAGATCTCAAAAAGCAGACAAAAGACGTGAACGACCTCTGATCTGATCTGAACCAAACCAAACGGATAGTTGGAATGTGCTCTTAGTTCAAATAAAATTTCACACTCATTCCCTCACATTGACGAATACAATCAAACTTATATATATCTATGAGGAGACAATCACTGTACTCTGGCTGTTTATTTTAACCAATGTCCAGTTAAAAAAAAATGTTCAAACAACATAAAAGAACGAAATTTTAAAATCAATGTCCCCATCTATATGATGGTGCATCCAGCATGTACTTGCACTGGCCTCCTCCGGCTAAATAAATAAACTCTCTTGTGATTGGCTGACCATTTGTCAAGAGATTATGGCTCTTGATTGGTGGACACGCCGACACAAAGTTACAATTTGCATACGATATATTCAGTACTTAATGTAAATAATCTTTCGCTTAATATTTTGTGCTCTAGTAACTTGTGTGTCTTTAGATACATTCACTCCTACTTGCCGAGTGTGCTATCCGTCAAACAGACCGAGTTTCTTTGGCTGACAATTACATCTGGCTGATGCAGCCATATAAATATGACAAACACCATCCAACCTAAAACAAACAATCATACATCATATATGCCTGCATCTTAATATTATCTTCTTTATCAAACTTAATACTTATAATATACATCTGTACCTGTATAAAATAATAATGGAGAAAAAAAAAAGAAATAGTTCACCCAAAAATGAAAGTTATGTGATCAGCACACATGAACATTTTCAAACTTGCCACAACAACTGTTGCATTTTGCATCTGTCAACGGTCATATGACTTTACAGCATTTTAATTTCTTATTTTAAACCATTTTAAGTCATCTTGAAGCCCCCTTGGAAGTTTCCCCATAGTGGGATTGACCAGTTTTATGGCCTTTTTTGTCTTTGTTGGAGCTGGAAAGTATGTGGACACTATTGTCTGTAAAAGAGCAGCGTGAACATTCATTAAAATATCTTCTTTTGTGTTCTACAGAAGAGCGTCAGCCATATGGGTTTGGAAAACAATGACAGAATTGTCATTTTTGGTGAACTGTCTCTTTGGGGGTTTGAAACGGAGTGCTATGGAATATGCAAGACTGAACAGTGATTTATGTAGTCAGTGTTTCAAATGCTTATTGGCGGACTGCTGAGAGGCTTGTGGTTTCTGTTGACGTCATTTTGAATGAGTGTCTCACATGGTCCCGCCTACTAAGGCTGAATGTCCATTTATCATTGGACAGTCTTGCGTAAAAATCGGTAGGTAATACATTGAGGTACCAAATTATTCTTTAAATAACTAAGAAAGTCTGTGGGATTTGTGTACCATATTGATATTCAGAAAACAAAACTCTGTAAGATTCGTCTTCACTGGTCCATGTTCTCAGTGTACGTCCTCCACAGTGACTGATGAACTTTGACTGGGAAACACTTACGATTTCTCCTTGTAGTCTTGTATGCTTTTTTGCATGTTCGGTTGAGCAGCTTTACATCCATCCGGCTGAAGCTTAGAGGGCAAAAACTGTCATACTGAAATCCCATAGGTCGTTCCTCCAACACCAGTCACTTTCTTCATCCCTCCTGCAGGTTTGTGTGAGTGGGTGTTATGATTGGCCACATTTTGTTTAATAGTCGAGCTGAATATTTGGTGGGGGGGGAAAAAAAAAAGAAGATAGAAATCGGTTAACCTAAATAGGATGCATGTGAAAAAGGTAATCATTTAACCAAAAACATTTTGGATGCATTGAAAGTGTTGTAGGGATTATACTGTATGTATTAAATGCAACAGACACAACCCAAGCAAGACATTCGCAAACTAGGTTTGAAGTCAACATGAATCGACATTCACAAGCCACTTTATTTCCATAATGTTATGAAATGATTTTATCTGCAAATGTTAGGAAACTCAAAATCAACCTTTTTTTTTTTTTTTTTGTACAAAAATCAAGTTCTAAGGGCTAGTTCTGTTTCACTTGCCCTCAATGCACTGGAAAACTGTTCAATGGTATAAAATAATGATCGATTTATTTTTAGCAATGCATTTTATATTGTTATCAGTATTTATAAAAATTTTAATAAGAAATATTTTTTATAAAAAAGTGAAACAATCTGGAAATTATATAGCTATAAACAAACACATTTTGACCAGAAAATGATGGCATACAGTTAGCCAGTTGGATAACATTCTCGGTGAGAAATCAGCAAAATTCAGTTGGTTAGAGAGGTTGTCGGGGACATTAAATGTCTTTACACTTAATAGGTAAACCTATCTACTCACTTGTTCGATTTACAGACTCGTTGTTTTTATAATCATGGATCTTGCAAACTATTCTAACTCAAACTTTCAGGAATTTATTTTTGAAGCAGTTGTCGAATGTTGAAGTAATGCGAACGTTTAGCTACATTTACAGTGACTTTTTACTTCAGATGACTCTTTTAAAACTTTCCCCAAGGGAACCAAGAGTGATGCTAACTTACAGGTTGGTCTACCATCACTGCAGCACTCTATATTACTAACGAAAATACCACATTAAGATTTTAAAAAGGATATTTGAGCTATAACAGTAGCCTAAAACAATGGTTAAATAGCTATTAGTCGATTGGTTAACATAATAAATAATCCACCCCGCCTTGGCAATGTCAGCCAAAAAATGGTTTCAAACTATTTGTCTTAACTTCCTAACTTTTTTTTTCATGTGCACTAATGTAAAACTAGGAATGCAATGAAAATAATGTATATTTCAGTTTCATGTTGACATTTAAGACATCAAAATAACAAGCAAAATGAGACGAACCTTAGCACAGAGACATCCTTATGGCCACAAGGCAGGAGGAGGGGAGGGCAGAAGAGAGCAGATGAACGTAAAGAACGAGAACAGAGAAGGAAAAAGGACAGAGAAAGATGGAGGGTGTGTACAGAAATTCAAGGGACAGCAGAGTGGCCATGGGTTGCAGGAAGAAAGAGACAGTGTTACTGAACAAAGAGAAGAAGAGAGACCAAAGCAAATGAATACAACCACGAACACTGGACCTCAATGTTCTACTTGACCATCACACACACACAGGCGTGCAGGTTTTTCTGAGGGGGGAAAGAGAGAGACGGCATTACTCACTTCGGCATCGGAGTCCCGCCCCCTGAGCTAGAGGGGCGGTGCTGTAATTCGGCACCACCTCCATAGGACAGTGATTTGCCCAGATGTGTATGGCCAGGGGCGGGGCCAGGAGGAGGGGAGCCCAATGAGCGAGCGCGAGGAGAAAGGGGCGGAGCCCGAGAAGGGGGTGAGCTTGTTGGGCGCAGGAAAGCTCTGTTGGGGGAGGGTCTTAGGGAGGCAGGGCAGGCCTGGAGAGAGCCCTCCCTCTGCTGAGCCGACAGGAAAGGGGACGTGTACCCCAAAATAGGCGGGGCCCCCGGTGCTGTGCTAAGAGAGTGCGGAGGGTGCGGTCTGGGCGGGGACAGCTCGTGAGCAGCAGACTCGAACTCCGGGCTTTCGGAGGGTGTCAGCAGACTTTCGTACGACAAGCTGCCGTTGCGTGTCTGATTGGCTAAACTCTTGTAGCTAGTGGAGGTCGTACCCTCAGAGATGAGAGGCCCGAGGGCATTGTGGGCCGTATGGGCAGAGCGAAGGCTTGAGGAGCAAGAGGCTGCTGCTGATTGGAGTAGGGTGTCGGTAAAAGAAGGGTAGGATCGCCCACCAAACGCAGAGGCCCCACCCAGGCCCCCCGAGCCTGCTCTACCTCCCTCCCCTCCCCCACGGAACCCTGCACCCCCTCGGCTTGACAAACTGGGGTCTGAGCGGTAGCTGGGCTGCCCAGTGGTGACGGGGACAGAGGGAGACTCGGTCATACTGTTCCCTCGACTCATCTGAGAGGAAAAAGAAAGACAGAAACGGTACTCCAAACGTTCCCAGGAGCTGAAGCATCACCAAAGACATGAAAGATGCCACACAACTGAACGTTTGAGCAAACCACACCGTATAAAGGGACGTACGGAGT